GCGCGCAGCCTCCATGCCTCCCCGCGCTGCCCCGCGCGCGGACTCCACAGGGCAAGGGCCAGGGAAACGGTGAGGACCACGCAAGGGGATGGCAAGCCAAAGGAAGCAACTCCTGGGGGGGAAACGAACCTAGAACCAGGTTGGGCATAATCCTCCCACAGGCTGATCTTGGAAACACAAAATCAGGAATAGACAAACATACGATAAAGTATGCAAATATCATCCCCAGGCTACGTTTTGACCAGTTTTGAATGCTCCTCCTGTAGAGGGACATGTCCGACTGAAACCTAGAAAACGAAAGGTTCTGGTTTACCCAAATGGGGGGTCCAGCTGAAAGGAGGTGATGCAATAGTTTTGGGGCAATTGTATTGCAAATGCATCGCGCCAGAGAACTGGATTGCCTGGTATTGCAACTAACGTATTGTGCGCGAAACCCCAGCAATACATTTGCGCACCGGAAAGTATTGCACGCCCCAAATCTATTGCAATCCCACAAATCGATTGCCCCAGATCTATTGCACCAGCCCCCGTACCGCTGGACCCCCTGCTGGGTCAACCAGAGAGGTGGAGGTGGATGGGGCGTGCCCGAGCAACTGCTCCCCTCCTCCCCTGGAGGCGGCAGGGCCCTTTCTCGCCCCCAAGCGGCCCGGCCTGGTGGCTCCGCACCAGCGCGGGCGCGGGCTGCCGCTTGGCCGCACTCCTGCGGGACGCCGTGTAGCTGATGATGGGCCCATGTCCCACCACCACGACCACAGGTCACATGTAGGAGAGGGAGGAGGAGGACGAGGAGGAGGAGGAGGAGGAGGAGGAGGAGGAGGACGAGGAGGAGGAGGAGGAGGAGGAGGAGGAGGAGGAGGAGGGGGAGGAGGCGGAGGAGGAGGAGGAGGAGGGAGGGGGAGGAGGAGGAGGAGAAGGAGGAGGAGGAGGAGGAGGAGGAGGAGGAGGAGGAGGAGGAGGAGGACCTCCTCATCCTCCCTCCTCCCCCGTCCTATGCGGTGGTGGAAAAGAGGCCCACCAGCTGATGAAGTACTCCAGCAGCTCCGTGTAGTCGGCCAGGCCCTCCGGGCGCGGGCGGAAGTCGGAGAGCACAGCAGCCTGGACGTCGGCCGGCTGCTGCGCCAGCAGCTCGAAGACGAGGGGCTGGGCGGGGTAGCGCGTCCGGAAGGCGGCCAGCGCCTCCCTCTCGACGGGCGTGGCGGGCGCCCCCTGGGCAGCACAGGTAGCTTTTTGCGGCAGGTTCCTGCAAAGGGTCGAGCCCTGAACCCTACAATCAAGAGGGCGTGGAGAAGATTGAAATACGGGACGTGGTGGTGGGGAGGGAGGGGGGGGCCTCAGAACGAGAGCAAGGTGATCCAGGTACGCCTCGGGCGTGTTGGCTGCGGAACCTCAACCTGTCGAACCGAAGTCCACGCTTCGAGACCGCAGAACTGCCGATCGGGGCTTCGTGGAGGGAGGAGGAGGTGAGTCCGAGGAGGAGGATGGAGGCGTGTGGAGGCGACCAGAGACCCAGACTCACAAGGGTTGTGGATGCCATGACAATGGACACCCTAACAGTCCAATCATTGAGCTAAACATGTGTCTCGAACTTCTGAGCACGTTCTCGGAGTGCGCAAGCACGTGTCTTACATGCTGAAGACATGTTGACAACATGTCTTAGACATCTGGAGATGATTTGGCAACGTGCTTCCTTGGGACGCACAAAGACATACTAGTACTAACATGTTCTCCTTGGAGGCGCGCGTCCGACCCGAACATGTAGTATACCCATATTGTAGTATATCGTTTCGGCCAGAAGGCGCCCACTACGACGCATGTCCTGTAAGATTTCTCGGTGCCCGCGTCGCCCCTGCAGGGGCGACGCACATATAGTGTAAGTATGTTGGGGTGACGCCGATTCCTCTCCAGCGGTGCATTAGCTATGCATCAGCGATGCATCGGAGATGACCCGGCGATGCATCGTCGACGTCGGCGATGCACCGGCGACGCCGACGTGAAGCAAATCGGGCTCCACATCGAGCCGCATCGGCGATGTATCGGCGATGCGGCGCGATCTTCCGACCCCATCTACTCCGACCCGATCTTGACCTCTTGCTGCCTTGCTCGCGCGCTGCACGGCACGCGCGTGGGACACCGCAGCCTTCCGGCCCAGAAGAGGACCCAGAGTCTGAAACGCGTCGCCAGCTGAAAGTGGTTGAGATTGGTAATACACCATTTGGCAACGTGCTTCCTTAGGGGCACAAAAAGTGGCATTAACATAAAAACTCGGAGGCCCGCGCGGATTTCTCGGATCGGCGCTGGACCCCCCTCCCTGGCGCGCGGAGCGCGCCGAGGGCGGCGCCGGAGGCGCCGCCGGGGGGGCCCCAGCGCCGATCCGAGAACTCCGCGCGGACCTCAGAGTTTTGTATGTTTATGCCACCTTTCGTACCCCCAGTAGCACACCGTCTGGCAACGTGCTTCCTCTCCATCGCTCGTCGTGCACAGCACCGGGGGCGGGTGGCCCCCGGGATGCACGCGGGCCCCTCGCCTCGAGGCCGGAGCCGGCGGCCGCCGCCCGCGGCCGCGCCCCGCGCAGCGGGGCGGCCTCCGCCGCCGGCCCCGCGAGGGCTGCCGGTGCCTCGCCGGGGAGGGGGCGAGCAGCGGGGAGCTCGGGGGGGGCGAGAGGGGGGGGGGGGGGCACAGGCGAGCCCTACCCATGCCCCCCTCGATGTCGGATGGGCGGCGGTGGGGTGCACTTCGCTCGGGAGCTCCCGAGCGGGTGGGGTGCACTTCGCTCGGGAGCTCCCGAGCGAGGTGAGCCCCAGCCTCCCACCCTCAGAGATCGTGGGGGGTGGGGGTAGGGCTCGCATGTGGCCCCCTAGAAAGGGGGGGAGAGCAAAGGGTGGGATTAGGTCGCGCATGTCCCCCTACAGGCCGATGTTCGACGAAACATGAAAAATATACGCAAAAAGGTTCAAACATGATCGACACATGTTCCGAAAATCGTTCCCGCGTTATTTGACTATTATTGTATATTCCTCCTGTAGAGGGACAGGCCCGACCTAAGGGTAGGGTAGAGAAGCAGCTCACGTAGCTGATTCTCCCAGCGCCTCCCGGCGCCGGGAGGCGCCCTGGTATCGAGGAGCGGGCCCCGCGGCGGGGCCGAAACCAGCTGCATGCAGCAGATTTCGTAAGCCCTTTCGTTCGGCCCGAGGAGCGGGGCTGGCAGCGCGCGCTCCGAGAGGTTGCGAAGGCCTGACGGCTGGTGCCGCCGACCCTGAATGGCGACGACGACGACGACGACGACGACGACGACGACGACGTTGACGACGACGCTGACGCCGACGACGACGACGACGTTGACGACGACGACGACGACGAAGACGAAGACGACGAGCGCTCTCGGGGGCCTTTTGGGGGTAGCTTGGGGGTCTCTTGGGAGGCTCTTGGGGGCCGCTTGGACGAATAGTGGGGAACGGGGCTGGCAACGCGCGATCCGAGAGATTGATTTGCCACGATCGTCCCGACCACTCGGTGGGATCCCAGACCCCCTCGGGTCATGAAAAAATCATGACGGGAGGTGTTTCGCTACTTTTGGCCTCTGAGGCCCTCACATGGCCTCGGGACCGTCAAAAAGAAAACGACTCAGGATGAAAAACAGGTCCCGGGGGATGGGTCCAGGCCTCTGTGGGTCGCGTCCTTTAAAAATCATGATGTCGGGGGTCTGGGATTATTCCTGCGAGCGGGGCTCGCTTCGATGAGCGCGTGTGCTTCGGAGCTCAGGATACAGAACATGCAAATGTTCCCCCAACGTGGCTTGCCTTTTGGGGGCTCTGCCATGCGCTCTCGAAACTTGCCCTTGAGGACGTGCCTGGACGTTCGCTCGCTTGGGTCAGCATATCTTGGGTCGGTGAGGCTCCATGTTGGCCCTGACTCGTGGCCGGCCGTTTGCGCACTTCGGTCGGTATGGCTTGAGCCGGTGTTTCTACATTGGCCCTGGATGTTTCGAGCGCCGTTCGCGCGCTTGGGTCGGTATGGCTTGGGTCGGGCCGTGGGAGTGCACACCTGTAGACTTCACGCCACAAGACTGCGCGCCATACATTGCGCCCCGTCGACTGCACCCAACAGACTGCACCCCATAGGTTGCACCCCACAACCTGCGCCCTACGGATTGCGCCCAGTACGCTGCACAACAAAGACCGCGCCGCAAAAAATACCCCGTATACTCTTTCTCTGAAGCATTACACGAGCCCCCCATGCAGATGCTGGACTTCTCGGCAAGCCTCCGCGGCATCCCGCTTTCATATTTATCCTGCACAGCCTTTCGTCCTGATTTTAAACTTGCATCATACAAAACAGTCTCATTATCGCCCTCCCCCCCTCATCCCTTTAATATGCATGAAAACCAGCCTCTGTATCACTCCTCCTGTATCACTTCTCATATTTCCCCCCCCCCCATCAAAGCTCCAACTCCGACTCCTTCCTCCGCACAACCCCTCCCTCCACACAGCCTTCAATGTCCTTTACACGTTCCGCCTTGCTCACTCTTCATCCCCCCTACTTCATTATCTGCCCACCTCCCCCTTACCGCATCCCTCTCACAACTACATTTCAAGTTCCTTTTCCCCCCGCTCCCCTCGTGCTTATTCCGATCGTTACCACTCTCCTGCAATCCCGAGGAAGACGAGAACGACGACGAGGAGAATTACGGCGCAGAGGAGTTACACTCTGAGGGGACCCGATCGCATGTCGAACATCGGAAGAGACGGTGGAGGAGAAGCTAACGCTGAGAGCACAAACTGTCCACTCAGTTGGCATGCCCAGGGGAAAAATACAGGAGGAGCGGCGCCAGCAACAACAGCAGGAGGACCAGTAAGAGGAGGAGAGCGACGACGAGCAGGAGGAGGATCACTGACCAAACTGCCCAGACTGCGAGCGGGCCGCCTTTGCACAGTCCCTGGATGGGAGGAGGGACTGCCAAGGGGGGACGCCCGTCGCCCGGGGAAACCCCAACTCGCAGCCTTTTTTTTCAGAATGGTTTGCTAACGAGGGTGGGCCCTGGCTAGCAACCCACAAGAAGGGACAGTCGAAGCAGGAGGGGCGCTCGTCATAGGGCAGTAACCCCACGCCTGCGGCGGTGGTCCCCAGTGGACACTACTGAGGGGATGGGACAGGAGAGGGGACGAGGCCCGCGGAGCTTGCGAGGGGGGGAGGAGGAGACCACAGCAGAAGCAGAGTGAAGTGGAGGAGCGCCCAGCGACCTCCTGATTCTTTGGGGGCCAGCGTTGCCATGAATTCGGGAGGGGCCGATAAGAAAAGTGCGGGCGCAGGCACGGCGGCAAAACAGTGCAACTGGTTGGCACTGGCAGGCGGTACCAAAAAGAAATGCTACTCCACAGCGCCTTTCCCCACCGCTCGGGGCTTACGCCGGTAACAAGTGTGTACCATGGAGAGGGGAAGAGAAGGCAGGGTAGCAGAACAACGGGGGTAAGGCCACAGCAGAAGCAGAGTGAAGTGGACGAGCGCACAGTGACCTCCTGATTCTGTTAGGGGTGGGCGTTGCCATGAATTTGAAGGGACTGATCGGAGAAGTGCAGGCGCAGGCACGGCGGCAGAACAGCGCAATTGATTGGCGTCGGCAAGCGGCACCAGCCACCCCTGGGAGAACCGCGGCCCTAGCCTAGGCACGTATGGCGCGGCGGATGCCCAGAATCCTGCCGTGATGTTGGATTGGACTGGCCGAAACAACGAACCGCGAGCTAGTTGGGCATGCAGAGCATAGCCTTAGCCCACAGTGCTAATAGAATTCCCAGGAGCTGGCCCGACAACGCTCGGACTTGATTGCCAGAGCTCCAGCCATGTCTGTTGAGTCGGACTGGGCGAAGACCGCAGGCTGGTGGGGTATGCAACGCATAGCCTTGGTCCACAGCCCTGGCAAAGTTCGAGCGCTGGTGGCCTTGGCCTAAGCAGGTGCGGCACGGCGGATGCCAGGAACCCTGCCGTGATTGTGGGCTGGCCGAAACAACGGACAGCGAGCTAGCTGGGCATGCGAGGCATGGCCGTAGCCCACAGTCCTTTCAGAATTCCAAAGATTGCCTATCAAAATGCGGCCCCAGAACTTGCCTACACTGCGTGGCCCAAAGATGACGAAAAGGAGGACGACGTGTGCAAGGCAGAAGCTGGCCAGAACTGGCAATCTACTCCCCAATGCCTTTCCCTACTGCTCGGGGTCCACGCTGGCTGGGAGCAGTGCGTACCACGGGAAAGGGAAGAGAGAAGGCAGGGAGACGGCTAGCTGGGCCGAGGCGGAGGAGCGGGCGAACGGGTGGGAAGGGAAAGGGGTTTGGGGCTGCCTGGGTTAGGGGCAGCACGCGGGAAGGGACAAATTGGTCCATGCCGCACTATCCATGCATGGAGCGGGGATCACAACAAAGTGCTGTCCCAGAACTTGCCGACAACGCGGCCCCAATATGGCAATAAGGATGCTGATGTGTGCCATCCGGTGGCAAGGCAGAAGCTGCCAAGGGCTGGCATCCTACTCCACAGTGCCTTTTCCCCACTGCTCGGAGTCCACGCTGATAGCAGCGCGTACCATGGAGCAGGGAAGAGAAGGCAGGGTAGCAGAAAAGCTGGGGTAATGCGGCGGAACGGGTGAACATTAGGAGGCGAAGAACGGTATGAAATAAACTTTTCCGCCGTCGGGGACGCCTGCCCCTGGGCGACTGGAGAGTTTATACCCCTAGCTGGCACCGTAAGGGTATAAACTTCCCAGCCGCCGCGGGACAGGCGCCCCCGACAGCGAAGAAGTTTATTGTATACCGTTCTTCGTCCGTAGAGAACGGGGTTGGGGGGGACATGAACGGGGGGTGAGGATGCCTCGGTTAGGGGCAGCAAGTGGGAACCCCGGTGAGCTCAAGGGAGGTGCTCATCGGAGACTCCTTGTCTCCTTACAGGCCGCCCCGTGCGTCCTCCCCGAATGCTCAACTCTGGGTGCCGGGCACACCTTCGGCACGGGGGCGAGGAGGAGGAGGAGGAGGAGGCGGAGGAGGAGGAGGAGGAGGAGGAGGAGGAGGGGGAAGAGGAGGAGGAGGAGGAGGAGGAGGAGGTGGAGGAGGAGGTGGGGGAGGAGGAGGGGGAGGAGGAGGAAAAGCAGGAGGAGAGGGAGCAGCAACAGCAGGACGACTCCGAGAGGGCCGAGCGCGGCGCCAAGGCCCCGCGGCCCGCGGCCGCCAGGGCGGCGCCAGCCGCTGCCGCGGCCGCGCCGCGCCGGTCGCGCCGGCGGCAGCGCATGCGGGCAACTGTCGGGGCGGCGGCCAGGGGATGATGACGATGACGAAGACAATGGCGACCTCGACGCCGGCGACGACGACTAAGAACACGACGATCTCGTCGACGGCAGCGAAGACGCAGGCAAAATAGAGGAGGGGAGAAGGAGGGAAGGACGAGGGAAGAAGGAGGGGGAGAGAGCAAAGGGATAAGCGTCGAGGAAAGGGATGGCAGAGGGAGCGAGAAGACCACCATACTGCGCACCACAGGAACGGAGGTTACAGAAACGCTGTCGCCTTCAATGCCTTCGATTGTTTCCAATACGTTCGGGCTCTAGGCTCTGGCCGACGCGTTGCTGTCTGCTACTCTGAC